ATAAAATGTTTTGGAGAGTATCTTTCCTTGCCTTGTTCTTTAGGATTATTTTAATCGTACCGCATATATGATTACAACGATCTATTTTCCTTTTTACATCAGCTTCCCCTGTGTATGAAATGTCACAGCACAGAACTTTTAAAATGCAGACTTGGTCAAGCATTGTATCATTTACTACCAGTTTACATCTTATAGGAAAGCTACCTCGAAATGCCATGGCCTTTGTTTTTTTGCTGAGGTTTTAAGTTATCCTCTGCTGTTATCCGTTGTTATTCAAACAGAGCTCTTTATAATTTGTTCTCATTGTCTGCAATAAGTACCTGATCGTCTGCAAATATTAACGTTTTAACAAAATTACATTCCTTAAGTTGTCTGTAATATCTAAAAAATTAAGCCGCTGCTTCCATTCTCTAACGGCGTTGTCTCAATAGAGATTAAATAAGATAGGTGACAAACTTCACCCTTGTCGAACACCTTTATTAATCGTCTCTTGTAGGATCTCTGTGTTATTTTTCTGTATGTTAATTTGTGTACCATTATATACGTTCTTAATAACTTCAATAATGTGTTGGGGAATTTCTCTCCTGTCCATTATGTTCCAGAGCTTGTTTCTTAAAGCATTATCGAATGCCTTGCTGTAATCTATAATCACTAAATATGTTGGAAGATTGTATTCTCTTCTCTTTTCTATTGCTTTAGAGAGTACACATTTAGCAAGCAAGTTATGAATAAAAATAAACTTTAAACAAATAGATGCCTGGTTCTTTCGTCTTAGGGAGTTGTATGAAAAATAATCTATTAATAATTAATATTTAATAATAAAAACATTAATAATAAAAAAATTGCGGTTGCATCTCTTCTTGACGGATGTTTGGTCTACGGCCACTACCCCCTCCCCCAGAATAGTATTGGAGCACCTTATCCTAACACTCGCAGAAGAGTTCTGAAGAGTACATGCTTTCAGTGTATTCTCAGACGTCTTATTTAAAAAAATCGTACATTTCCAATTTTCTATTCTACAAATCGTTTCATTCTTATAGGTTTGTATTAGAACATACTTTGTAGTTGAGACTATCTTACAAATCCCATTAGCCCTAAAGTATATGCTATACATAACACAATTATCCTGTAGAACGATAATTATCTAATGGGGTGGCAACGCAATGATAACCCTTTTCCTTCCGAGTGATCCAATACCTGCCCAGCGTGCTGTAAACAGGGACGATCGGGCGATAGCGACCTGTCATTCATCACCTGGGCACGTGGGCCGTCAGTTTGGCATCACATTTACTTATCACAGAATGTGGCTGGGGCACGTGGTTGGCACGGCCACCGCTAGATCGCAGGTGGCATTCAACGCGCCTCAGTCAGCTGCTGGGGAACTGTTTTTTTGTATCCTTGTAGAACGTTTTATGATTTTTATTATTACTTTATGCTTTTTTAATAGATAATAGATAGGGACAGAACGTCACGTTCGCAGTCAAATTTCATCGAGTACCTCCCAAAACCCAATGCGCGATAGTTTTTCTACCTCTCACGGGGGGTGGGGTGGGGGTGGAATTCACATGTGTAATTTCGTTTTATGAAATTCCCCGCCACATGTTCAAAGGCAAAAAAAGGCCAAGCTTCTATCCCGCTGCACACGCTATACGTTGCACCTTCTCTGCTTGACGTTTGTGATACGAGATGACACAGTGGTTTCCTTGCGACACGCAAAGGCAGCAACTTTTCCAGTGGCATAATCTACCTTTGTTGGCAACTTCAAATGTTTAAATGAAGGGGATAGTGTATCTTATCAGCCGAGCGCTTCTTTCCCTCATTTATGACTCCACAATTAAAAGATCACCACATTAAAAGTATACAGACAGCGGTACCTTCGGACGGAAATCTAGTATTCGGTTTACATCTCCGGCAAAAGCGTATGAAGTGCGCACGTTGTTGGGGCTGTAAAGCAAGGCAACGCTGTGCCTGCCGAGGCTCATCTGTCAAGCAGAAATGAGAATGGTGAAACGTATTAAATGTATCATTATTTATCCTGAGACACCTGTGTACGGTTTATACTAGAATACACTAATATATACGAGATAAAGTAAAGTTGCAAATGATTAGCTTACGGAGCGCATTAATTACAGTAGAGAGTACCTTTTTTACCATGGACAAACAGTACAAAATACAAGTTGCGACTTTGTCTAGAATGGTTTGTTACCACGGCCAAATAGCATCAAGAAAGAAACGAGGTGTTACAAAATAATTTATGTTATCGTATTATTTGTAACAGTTGCTTAATATTATAATACTAGTTGTAGTATTATGCAAAATGCGTATTATGCAATATCGCAAAAATGTTTCCAACCCGCAAGAATATTTGCTCGCCCTGGAAATCGAACTCGACACAGTGATACTCCGCATGGACTTCTGCACTAGACTTATCCACTAAACCACTTGGCTATTGAGCAGTTTGTATTGAAGTAGAGCCCCAAAAACATAAAAAAGAAAGTTGAATTTATGTAATTATCTAAGTTTCAGAAATTTGAATGAAAATGGCCTACACCAGCCCGTAGTAAACAAATACTGTTCAAAAAACATCAAAGGCAAGTAGTGGTGCTACACAATGGCATAGACTATCTCGGAATAGTTTCCAATTATTGTGAGCTCGTTATCTTTCCGCTTTTGCCCCACCACCACCACCGATCTGCATTATATCAGTACTTCAAAACCTACCTACAATATACACTGAGGTGACAAAAGCCTTGTGATACCTAATATCGTGTCGGACCTCCTTTTGCCCGGCGAAGTGCAGCAACTCGACGTGGCATGCACTCAACTAGTTCAAAGTCTCCTGCAGAGATATTGAGCCATGCTGCCTCTTTAGCCGTCCATAATTGCGAAAGTGTTGCCGGTGCAGGATTTTGTGCACGAGCTTACCTCCAAGTTATGACCCATAAATGGTCGGTGGGGTTCATGACGGACGATCTGGACGATCAATTCGATCATTCGCTCGAATTGTCCGGAAAGTTCTTCAAAACGATTGTGAACAATCGTGACCCGCTGGCGGGCAGTAGCTATTCCTTTTTTGGGAACATGAATGGTTTCAAAGTAGCTGAACATAACCATTTTCAGTTAATGATCTGTTCAGTTCGGCCAGAGGACTCAGTCCATTCCATGAAACAGCCCACACCATAATGTGGCCACAACCAGCTTGCACAGAGCTTTGTTGACAACTTAAATCCATGGCTTCCTAAGGCACTTTGGAACCCTACCATCAGCTCTTACCAACTGAAATAGGGGACTGATCTGTCCAAGCCACGGTTTTCCAGTGGTCTAGGACCGAATGGCTATGTTCACGAGCCCGAAAGAGGCGTTGCAGGCGATGTTCTGTTAGCACTCGAGTCGGTCTTCTGATGCTATAGCCCGTTAAATCCAAATTTCGCATGCACCGTTCTAACGGTTATATTCGTCGTACGTCCCCCATTGATTTCTGCGGTTATTTTGCGCAGTGTTGCTTGTCAGCACTGATAACACTACGCAAACGCCGCTGTCCTCTGTTCTTAAGTGAAAGCCGTTGCCTTCTGCGTTGCCCATGGGGAGAGGTTATGCTTGAAATTATGTCTTCTCGGCACACTCTTACCGAGCCATCTCAGTCTGCAGTCCCTCTGACCGGGATGACCTAGTTTCGTCTCCCGACGATGACAGGAGTTTTGACACTAGCTTGTCAACTACGTCGAATTCCGTCGCTGTCTGGAGGAGAATTCTAGCGGCCGGCTGCTCTGATCGGTAGTTTTCCGTGGTTTCTCTGATCAACACCGGGCGAAAAGGACCGCGCGTGATCTTTCCTACCTCTTCTTTGCCCTATCCTCACCTCTTACACACACCTACACTAACATGCACCACAACATATGCCAGGAGACCGATCGGGAGCTGAGAGCTTGTTCCAGCTGGGGCGGTGTCCCACTGGTGGGAGATACCCGGTTGTGGAAAACCCAGCTAGCCGACGGTAGGCCGGAGCTGGATCTCGCCATACAGCGGGGGAAGACCACGGCTCCCTCCCGAGCAAAACATGCACCACATTTACGGGACTAACCCGATAGTTGACACACCTGGAATCACTAACAATCAATCGTCACACTCTTGACACTGTGAATCCAGGAATATTGAATTCCCTAACTACCTTTCCGCAAACAAAGTTTGTTAATGCCCGTCATGCAGTCATAATCGTATCAGAAACCTTTCCATATGAATCACTTGAGTACAATGAAAGCTCTACTAATGCACTACCCTTATTTATCATTAGAATTCGATACTACTGCCATCTGCCTATTTGCATATTGCTGTTCCATAACTTTTTCACCTCAGTGTATTGTCGCCCAAAAACTGGGGTCTTTCGCACTACCTAAATATCTCCTGAAGACTATTTTCAGAGAAGATGTCCCTCGCACTCCTCAGATATCAAGCTGAGGTAGCCTTAGGCATTATATGTGCCAACTGTAGCACATGGCCGCATTTTGATGCTTGTATTCTACGTTTACGGTTCCATTAACCACACAGACAAATTGCAACCACATCTCGCACAGTTGCCAATGAAGTCAAGACCTTATTAAAGGGTTAGAGTATTAATGTAATTCATGAGATACTCGGATTGTTGATACATGAGATACTCACATATGTTGGCATATTCTTTATCAACATCCTTTTGAATTCATTTTTCGCTTTAATAAGTTAACTTGGAAACTTATTACTGTCTATGTTGTGTCTTTTCGTGAGTCTAAAAATTCATAGATTTTGAACTTGTCCAAATAAATAACTGAAAACTTATTAACAGTGCTTTAACAAAGGGATGATAATGCCCTTCCCCTGATGCTTGGATATTGATAGAGATTGTTATAGTTATTGTAAATTTAAATAAAATAGTTATTGTAAAATTGTTTATAGTTTGTTACAGTCCTTGTTCAACAACAAAATAATTGTTCCTTCCATAAGATTATGTTCCAGATATCTCATGAATGTGCCTTTTTGTGTTTCAGATGATGCGTCATGCGTGGGACAATTATGTACGTTATGCATGGGGTAAGAATGAATTACGACCGATAAGTAAACGAGGACATAGTGGAAGTATATTTGGATCAGGTTCTCTTGGAGCAACTATTGTTGATGGTTTGGATACACTTTACATAATGGGTATGCATGAAGAATTCAAACAGGGGCGGGACTGGATTGCTGAAAGCTTAGACATAAACTCTTTGGTAAGTAAATACTTTTTTATACTGTAACATCCTGAAGTAGGGAGATGTATGTGACCGTTAGTTTAGTACAAAACAGCCATGTATTTTTATTTTTTTTGTTTGTCTGATGTTTAGAGTATAGATCTGTCTGTTTTTGAAACCAATATCCGCTTCGTTGGAGGTCTCCTGGCATGTTTTGCTCTCACTGGAGATGTTATGTTCAGAGACAAGGCAGCTCAGATTGCTGAGAAACTTCTTCCTGCTTTCCAAACTCAGACTGGGATTCCCAATGCTCTTGTCAATTTAAAAACTGGTGTAAGTAAATGCAATGTTAATCGTTAAAATCTGTGTTTTCTTCAGATATAAAGGAAAAGCAAAACTTTTTAATGTGATCAAAAACAACCTTTTCTGAAAACATACTTATTTTCATAAATTCTTTAGGCATTCATATTGTTTGCAATAATCTTAATTGCAGCATACATCACCTGTTTTCATGATGGATTTCAAAGTATTGGTGTGATTTTTTGGCAGGCAAGTAAAAATTATGGCTGGGCCAGTGGTGGATGTAGTATATTATCTGAATTTGGCACTCTTCACTTAGAATTTTCATACTTGTCAGATGTAACTGGCAATCCTGTCTTTCGTGCCAAAGTAGATCATATTCGCAGAGTGATACAGGCAATGGATAAACCTCGAGGTTTATATCCTAATTACTTCAATCCCAAAACTGGAAAATGGGGCCAACGTAAGTTTTTATTTAAAATTGAAACTTTTTTTTTTTCTGTATGTAAAATGTGTTCTATAGCTTTGTACATAATTTGTGCCTACTATAACATCCTGAATAGTTAAATCAGAGTGAAAAAATGTAATTTATATTGATATAAATTGCATGATCATTGACCAATTTATACAAATTGAAATAAATGTTGCTTAAAACTGCTAATTAATAAACTAAGACTTTCAAATGCATGATTATCTTACAACTGAATTTATAATAATTAACATTTTAATTATATTTTACGTATTGCAGATCACATGTCTATTGGTGGACTTGGAGACAGCTTCTATGAATACCTTCTGAAAGCATGGATTCAGTCTGGACGAGAAGATCAGGAAGCACGTCAAATGTTTGATGATGCTATGCATCATGTTATACAGCATATGTTGAAAGTCTCTCCTGGAGGACTCACATATATCTCGGATATGAAATTTGACCGTCTGGAAAACAAAATGGATCACTTAGGATGTTTTTCTGGTAAAATGATGTCATTAAATCCATGAGTGTTAGAGCTGCAAATGAAACAGTTATTTGAATGCCTGAATAATACAAGAGTAATATTTTTTTTTATTTTACACATGGAGCATTTAATATATTTAGATTATAACAATTGGTAAAATAATTGTGATCCTCCAGAAATACTGCAATTAGGTAGGAGTATGGTAAAGTAATTTTAAAAAGAAAATTAATAAGTTTTGACTTGATGAAATATAGATCTTTTAGTATTTTGAGGGACATTATGATTCTGGTTACTTTTTATCCCTCTCTGTCTCTTTTCTCTCTTCCAAAGCATCTGTGTTCATCTGTCTCTGTTTGTCTGTGAATTGCATGAGCACCTAAACTACTAGCAGGATTTTTTCCAAAAGGAAACCCCTGCAATTTTGAAAAAAAATCTCGAAATTGTGGGGATACTTTGCAAGAAGCCCTTGGGGCAATTTCAATATTTTCTTCAAAATTTTCTTTAAATTTCTTCTAAGGATAGAGTGAAATACACTAGTGAAGTTCGATTAGCTGCCATTTACACAGTCACCCATGAAATTTTGAAAATTGCTTAGCTTGAAATGTATTGAGGGATTTCTACCACTATAATACTGAAGTTCAATATTTTTCCTTCAATAAAAATATGATCTCTACAATTAGGGCTTAAATTAATGTCGTATACTTTTTGTTGTTGTTGAAAATTTTAGTTGTTTTTCGTAGTTTTGGATGAAATATAGGCTGTCATAAAAAACATTAAAAACATAAAATTTGGAGCCTTTTTGAGAAAATTTTCTTAAAACTATTTGTATGTATAGTGCTAAATTCACTGTATGCACTTAAATGCCATTATATGTATTATTTTCTTCCTTGTCATTAATATCTCTCTCACATTGGTAATATTTACATTAGTGGCAATTTGTATACATTTGGGAGTACAAGTGCTTCAAATGATGTCTAAAGTTTCTTGGAATCTCAAAACTTTTCTGTGATAATGGACTCAAAATTCTGCATTTTGAAGAATGGTTGAAGAAAATTTTCTCAAAAATTGCTTCAAATTTTTTCTTCAACTTTTTGAGTGGATATTGCTAAAAGTACTGAATAGTATGACATCAATGCCATTTTGATTTATTCATTTGATTTTTTTTTTTTTCCAAAGTTGCCCAAATGTATTTTTTTAAAATTGATCTCGCATCATTAATGTTTACATTTCAGACGCTTTTTGTACATTATGTATTAGTGAGTAGAAATACTTCAAATGATGGGTCAAAGAAGTTTCTTGAAAACTCAGAAGTTTCCTGTGAAAATTAGCTCAAATTAGTGCAATTTAAAAACATTCAAAATATATTTTCTCAAAAAAAGTTTGTGTACAGGACCGGATTTTACTCTCCTAAAATATTCGTAAAGCCACGTATCAATTCTACCTTTAGGGGACCAAACAACTGAAAAAATGTGAAAAAGTGCCCTTTAGGCATTTTGACAGCATTGACACATGGTGGAACAAAATTGAAAAACTAGTCCAGACTAAAGAAATTAGAAAATTAACTAGTACAAGAAAGTTTGTGTCATTCTGAAGCACTACTAGTCTTTTGCTTATATTCTCTAGCTGGAAATATTGATTTGTAGAAGTAAAAAACTATTAATATTGTTACTTTTGAAATAATTTCTTTAAGTGTAAATTTGAAGCTAATTTATTTTGTTTGATATTCATTTGGTAATATTACAGTCTAGGCACTTTTAATGCCAAATATTGTACTCTTTGATAGTATATTTTTGTAATTTTTTTCTAGGTGGGTTGTTTGGACTTGCTGCACAAACTCTGAAGAATGATATGTCTTCACGTTATATGGAAATTGCTGATGGCATCACCAATACATGCCATGAATCGTATGACAGAACTGCAGCAAAATTAGGCCCAGAAGCATTTCGATTTACTGACTCGAGTGAGGCAAGAGCTCTAAAAAGCAGTGAAAAATACTACATATTGCGTCCAGAAGTTATTGAATCTTACTTCATAATGTGGCGTTTAACTAAGGATCAAAAATATAGAGAATGGGGTTGGGAAGCAGTTCAGGTAAATAGTCATACTTTTGATACGAAAAAGGGTTGTGTAATTAGATTTAATTTTAAGAAAGGGTTTTAACACTTTTTTGTGTGCAATACAGTAATTAATGTAGCGAGAAGCTCAGTAAAAATACTTGAAATGTAATGAAATTATTTACTAATTGGTATCCATAAGAATGCATGCATTTCCATAAAAAAAATCATTGAGAATCTCTAGAGGATTTAGAGCATATTGATTTTATTTTTTCACATGCATCTTTGATCCATCCTAGCAAGTGTTTTAATAACAATATATTTGAATAATATAAGTAATTTTTGTATATTTTACGAAATAAGTTGGAAAGTTCAAAATATGGCTAATGTTGATAGTAGCCAGTTAATTTATACATTAGGCAGTAGTGTGGATAAAACATTATGAACGATGAGAACAGATCATTCAGCCAATGCTGGTATTGTAGGACACTGGTTAACAAAGCAATTGGCAGAGAGTGAAGCATCGTATTTTGACCAGAAGTATATTGGCATAAAAATGCTTTGAAATTTGTTTATTGCACAGACTTAATGTTTTACATTGGTCACAAAAGCTGGAGCCTTATTTCTAAATTGGAAATGTATTGTAAAGAATCAGTTGACTTACACAGTGGGGTTAGGATAGGTGATATAAATAGAAATGTATGACTGGCACAATGGAAATGAATCTACACATTGTAATTTGCATTATGAATCTTAAAAACTTCCCATCAGCAGTCTGATCCCTGTGTATCTCATACTTTGTATTGAAACACAAATGTTTTGGTTATGTTGTGAATCTGACCACATCCCTTCTTGGTGCCAAAAAAAGTTAATTCCTGCTGCTTAAGTAAGTGCAGTGATACCTCCATTATTCAGTGCTTGGTTAATCTGTAATTAATTAATCACGGTCTGTTTTGTTGTGAAAATAATTAAATGAATTATTTTTTTGTAAGTAAAAAAATAGTGACAAGTCTCTTAATTTGCAACTTTCACATAATTTAATCCACTGATTCAGGAATTAATTTTGATCTGTGGGGAAATGAGGACGTAAATTAGAAAGGAAAGATTAAACAAAAACAAACAAAAAAGCTTATTTTTTGCAAAGAAAATTGTGATACATATAGATTTGATGCAAGATATAGAACATCCACATTAATAATAATAATAATAATAATAATAATAATAATAATAATAATAATAATAATAATAATAATTACATTAAAATACATATAATTATGTTTGCAACTACATCAAATTTATTAATAGATACAGTCTAATATTTATAACTTGAAATGGTGGACGGGAGGCAACGTTTGCACCAGTTTTCTTCTTCTATTCTTCTGTTTCACAGGATGCGATATTGCAGTTCCTTTTTTTCTTATGCTTCAGCTTAAACAGTTTTACATGAAAACGAAAGTCTAATTTTATAATTTTTTAATTTTTGGAATAGGCCATAACGAGAAAAAGAAATTCTTATTTATTTATATTTTTTGAGGGAAATGTTGTAATTTGAAAATTCCTTTACATTGTAGGACACGTTAATCAAGAAAGCTTTCAATTTACTTTTAAATGTATGAATTGTGTTTATGTCTTTAATATCATTGTATCAATGTATATTATATTTTATCCCCCTTTTTTAATCTTTTTATTAAGACATTTAAACCATTAAAAATGGTTTTTGATTTTCCATAGTCCCTGTTCTCTTTAATTACCTCAAATAATGGAGGTTCTACTATGATACCTTAAGTTCTCTTTTTCCATATTGTTGCCTCTTTCTTTTCAGGCTCTTGAGAAGCACTGTCGAGTGGCTGGAGGCTATACAGGCCTTAAAAATGTTTATCTTGAAGAGCCAATGAAGGATGATGTGCAACAAAGCTTTTTCCTTGCAGAAACTCTAAAGGTAATTTACATTCATGAATTTTGATTATTTGTGTTGTAGCTTTTCAGATAACTATGTATGAGGTAATAAAGAGTAAGATTGTACATTGGGTTTTAGTTTTGTACATTGTACAGTAGGATTTTTCTCTAAATATACAACTTGTTTGTATGTTTCTCATTCGCTCTCCCTAAACAACTGGAATTGTCTTGAAATACTTTTTTGTATCTAGGTATTTTTTAAATATTTCAATGTATACTTACTGTTGATTGACCTTCCAATAAAGTCTATTAGAGGGACATTTTTGTAATATCCAGAATTTCCTAATGTCACTTAGCATTTAGGAATTAAAATTTAACCTTTTCAAATAGTTCTCATTTCTAGAGATAAACTATAGTCAGCAATTGCCTAATGGTTTTGATTTACTGTTATAGATAGGCATGCTGAAGAAGGTTTATGTCGATAATAGACATCACAATCCCATTCATATTAAAAAACTGGGTATTGATTTATGTATGTGTCCCATAAACATAATAGCAAAGGGCATTGTGGAGTTTTAGTTAAATCTAACAGATTTGAAATGCTTCTTCACATTTTGTATTACTTGCTTCTTTCCCGACATCTACATTGAACCAGATATATCAATTTCCTTTAAATCATTGAAGTTAAGAATTTTGTTGAAATGTAGATCATTACAAAATATTGTTTTTGTTACTTTTTATGTTGAATACCTATATTGCAAAATATCAGTCGAATGTAATTTACTTCAATTGTTTCAGTACCTGTATTTGCTGTATAGTGATGATAGCCTCATATCATTAGATGAGTGGGTTTATAATACTGAGGCACATCCTCTACCCATAAAAGGAGTGAACCCATATTATCGTGAACAAGTATAAAAATGGTTATTTTAGGAAATGCCATTTTAGATTTTAATTTATTTATTACAGGTAAGTTGGTGAAAGGAGTTTCAGTCTTTATTTTAAGTTGCAAGCTTGTGAATGCCTGTATTTCTTTGGGGATGGGGGAGCTATGGGAGATGTATGTGGGTCAGCTCTTAAATATTAGATTTCTGTAGAGACTGGTTTGTATTAAGGTATTTTTATGTCGTAGAGACCTGAGTTCTTCAGAAAGTGTTGTCAGATTTAGAAATGATGAGTATTTAGGAGGGCAGATCCTTTATTCACCATGTTCCTAAACTTTAAAAATTACCTTTGTTTTCCAATGAATAAGAGGTACAAAACTTAAAACAAACTATTTTATTAAGTAACCTATGGAAATTGTATTGTATGCAAGACTGTTTTGAAAGTAACTTCAATATTTACTTTTAATATACTGTATTCAACAGAAGTAAATTTTTCCCCCTTCTGGAAACATACTAAGAGTTTAGTTAAATTGCTAATTGCAACATTTCAAAAAGTATCTTCAACAATCAGTTAACAAAATGCCTAACTGCTGCTGGAAAATCCATATGTTCCTGAAATTGTTGATAAAAATTGCATATCAAACAGAAAGATTATCATAAAATTGATGTTTCTAATAAAAATATTGTACAACACCTAGCAAAAATGCCTTTCCAGGACAATGGAGTTCCAGGCAAGATTTGGGAACTCTCCTTCTGATCATGGCAAATTTGCTGTCTTTGCTTTGAAGTGTAAATTACTAGTATTGACTTTTCAATTAAGGATATTGGCAGTGCAAATATTTTCCCAATTTGGCATATGCCCCACGAGATGAATTTATTTTTTAATGCAAACAATTTGGAATTCACTAATAGTTCAATTTTTTGCATTGTTTGTGATTAAAGAGGACTAGTATAAATATACTCATATTTTGGTACATGTTTTTAAAAAAATCAAATCTATTTGAAGTAGGCAAGTGAAGCTTGTTGAGACAAAGTTAATGAGCCTTTAAGTTATCTGTGAGCGAATAGGAGTTTGCTTTGTGATTAATAATATTTGTTTTGAGATTTTCAAAATTTACAAATCTTTGAGAGAATAATGCTCAGATAAGAACTGTGTGGTTTACAAAAAGTCTAATTTTTCATTTAGTAATTTAAAGTTGACCTTAAGTCTTTAGAAGAAACAAGGAGTATAATTTATTTCATCGCCCACCCAAATGAAGCAGCTGCTGATGCTCTCTCAAATGGCAACATTGGAAGATATCGCGTATAGTCAGCCATAGAAACATATACTCTAATTTCTTCATTTCCTCAACCAATGTTGTGCAAACTCCATTAAAAAAATGACTAGGGTCGCCAAAGTTATCCTGTATTAATGAATGAAACATTAATAGAAAGTTATTACACGAAATTGAATTTGAATTTAATGTATCTGAAAATATTCTTAAGCAATTCATTACTGAGATTATTATGACACATCTAAGAAAAAATAATTTTTGTAGTAATCATGAAGATTGCTTATTATATAAGCCTTTTCATAGAGTTTAATGGTATTTAAATTAAAGTTCTTTCAATTTAAATGGTAAAGACTTTGCAATTCACTTCCTGTTCTTTTTGTCATCCTAGTATTGGTTGAAAGTATATTTCATTATATATTATAAAATATAATTCAGTACAATCTAATCTTGTTTTTAAAATTATGGAGGAACTATAATCATGAAATGCTGGTTTGAATTGCTGTCAGATATGTTTGTTATAATTTCAAACATTTACTGGTTGAATTATTTGAAATGTGAGTTGTAAGTGTTAATTATATTTTTTGTGGTTTTCAGGTTGGAATGCTCCTTAATTTTGACCTTAATTGTGTAAATATGAAGGAGAAAATATTTCCCTTGGATAGCATCGAATTGGACCTTGCTCAAATGCAAGTTGTGTGCAAGAACTGTGTTATTGCCCTGACCATGTCCCTCTGTGTAGAAAACCAATCAGGTTAAGGAAAAAAAAGAAGAAAAAAACCTTTTGGACATTTTTAATTAACTCTCTTTGAAGTGTCTCTACATTCTGTTTGTTATGAAATTTTTTAAAGGCTAAATGTGTAGGACAAGTAATATATAACTACTTTGAATTATATTGAAATTGTCTGTTTGTTTTGTCAGTACCATATAACTTCATGAAAAGACACTTTTGCTTTCTACTAATTGAAATCTACTAATTAATTGATTTATGCATTAATTTTTGGTATTAATGGTAAATAATTGCAAACCAATGTTAGTCATTTTGTTTTACATTGTAATAGGGAGTTATGAAAAAAACTGTGCCCAGTAGCATGCCCGAGCTTGAAAAAGAACTCAAAAACATACAGAGATATTTAAACCAGTGGTGAAATATTTTATTAAAAGGAATTGTTGGATCACTGTAGTTATTAAGGGAGCACGAGTAACGTTAACTTCTACCATCACAGGTTTGTGTGTGTGAGCGGTTGTATGTCAGTGTTATTTTGTAATACATATGTATTACATGTCAGATTTCATTGTATTCGTATGAAAGTACTTTGTTGTATTGTAAGGAAGAAAATGTTTCCATATTGTATGTAATGTAAAAAGATTTTCTCATTTTACAAACTGATGAAAAGTATTGAGTGTGTGATGTTCTGTAAAATTAATTTGGTTTTCTGTCTTCCCTTTCACATTTGTCTTTCCTTATTTTTTTCTTCTCTCCCTCTGTCTCTCTGGCTCCTGGTCGCTGTCTTCATTTTCTTTCTATAAGAAATATTGAATACAGTATGACTTCTGCAAGATAAATTTCTAGAACTTATATTACAAGTATGATTACGGTTTCTCATTTTTTCTTAAGAAAACCAAAGGCATTTCAGCAAAAATGAAACTGCTGAAGAAAGTCTGCAAATTATATTTATTAAACATATGTTGTAGCTCTTACAAATATATTTTTGGATTAAATTATGTAGGAGAACATGCCAAAGTTACAGTTGATATTTCATTTTGCAATTATTTCTTGTTATTCAAGTTGTACTCATTTTATAAATCAAGGATTGCATTTCAGTAAACAATGTCACTCTACATATATAAATGTGCTCTTCATGCATTGTATGATATTATAGGTGTTTTGAAGTGTTATGTTTGATAACCTGTGTTGTGACATAATGTAAATATATTTGTTTGTTTATGTTAAATTGCTTTCCAACATATGAAATTATTTTACAATGAATAACATTCTTAACACATTCAGGTCAATGCTTAAAACAGATCCAAACATCACTTTTCCCTGAGAGAGACACTGCTCAGCATAGTTCTGAATAAGTTTCTTGGAGTGTTTCATGTGATATCTGCATAGGAGTCATTTCTTTCGTGTACAGTTCACATATAATCCACTGGATACAGCATTGAACCTACACTTTTAATTGTTAGGAAAGAAAAACTGAAGAGCTGTTTGGTGAAGGTAGCATATTGTTGCCATCATTTCCTGAGGAAGCAGAATCTGCCTGATTATCTGATTATTTCTAGGCATACCATATGAACTCCAACAATGAAGAGTAAATTGACATCTTATTATTGTAATTAAAACCAAACTGAAAGGAATTTTTGAGCTTTTCTTAGCAAAAAACTGTTACAACTGCCAAAGCAAAACCGCAAATTTGTGAAACTGTCGTATTTTTTTATAAATAAGCCACCTTCATAAAAGTTAAAAATAAATTTAAAGCTAATATTTGGATCTTGAAAAACCTACTCAAATTTTCCATGCTCTTTGCAGTATTTAATAATTATAACATGAAAATGACATGACATACGGGACTTGAAAAGACCCTGCAAGATATGACCTGAATGTGTTCACTTCGTTGCTTTTGGAGTTTGTGATATGTGAAGGATATGTTCTGCTATTAGCATTTCCTTTTCTTTGGAAATACTCTCATCACTTCAATTTTAATGATCTATAGATTTTTATCTTCTCTTAGTACTTAAACATTAAGGGAATAATGCCTTCCATTTATGTAGCAAGTGTGGTAATTTGGTATTGTAATATGTATTGGAGGAACATCTGATGCAGATATCTTCAAAAAAGTAGTTTCTCTGAAATCAATTCATGGTGCCAATTTATGCAGTTATGGTATTAAAAGACATAAGTAGTATATTTCATATTGCACTTTTAAAATAATGCTAACGAAGTTAATTTCTTTATTTCAGTACATTAATTTTGATAATGTTAAAGTGAATTATAACAGTGATCACATACATAAAGGTTAAGAATATTGTCTATGGCAACTTATATCCGTGTATTAATTCTCTGATAAATTGCTAACATAATTTTCTGGAATATTAGAAGTTAAGTAATTTAAAATTTGTCTGGATATTTAGTTATCTTAACAGATAGAAAATGTCCAAAGAAGAGCAGTATATTGGACGTTTGTTTTTATTTGAAATATAGATTGAATTTCTTGCATCAGATGATAGTTTAAGAATATAATGTTGCTTAATATTTGTTAGATGATTGATTACAATTGTAATCAAAAATGCATATAACAAATTATGGAAAATGTTTAATTTAACCATTAATTTATGGAAAAAGAAGAGGAAAAAAAACGGTTTGTAAAAATTACAAATTTGTAAAAGTATTGCATTTTTGGTATTTGTGCCATAAGAACGAATATCTTTTAAACTTAGTGGACTTCATTTTATTACTATGAATCAAATGAAAAAACTAAATATTCAAGACATTATTTCAATATTAAACTAATGTTTTAATATAAATTTCTTAGAATGTTCTCATACCAGGTTATTAGTGCAAATGATTGTACCCTGTAGTTTTGAAGTGTTGTGCTTCACCCTTTTGTAAATGTGTGTTTGACAAGTGAAAGTGTGTTTTCCTGCAGCTTTAATTCTATAAAACTTCTGATAGTGCATGAACTGTTTGTTACTGGTGGATGTTTGTGTGATTGTTCTGATACATTATCGGATACTTGTTTGTTTGTTTGTTTGTTTTTTATTTTTTTATTTTAATAGGGATCTTTCAAGTCCAGTATCTCTTGAACAGGGTTTCAGTATGAAAACATTATTAGGGAGTTATTGCTTACTCATCCATGTCAAAAAATTGATTCAGGTTGCTTAATGAAGTCACTTGGTAACAGAACATACATGAAGAATTTATTGCAACATTCTTAAAAAGCCTTCTGGCAGTTCATTCGATTGAAGTGAAGTTCTACATTTTGTACATTTTCTCAACTCGTGCAACTTATCAGAGTTCAGTAATAGCATTAATTTATATTAATAATATAATTTTGGGCTGCATTCTTCAATTACTTGATGTGAAGAGGATAAGACTGTAAGTTAATAAAATTGCAATCATTTTTTGGCAGGGTGTCTTTGCAGTGTAATAAGTTTTGTTGAATGCAGCATTCTAATTACAACTTCCAGAAATTAATTTTTGTGAAGAGGTCAATAAAAAATGGCCTAGGGGTCTATAGGTTTAACTTGGTGAATCTGGTAGGGGGTTTCTTGCATGTAGTGATAAGATATGTAACTTGTACAAAATACATTTTATATATGATACTATGCTAGTTAAGAAAATGTGACTGCTTTATACATAAGACATTGGAATGATGGCAAATTTGCTTTATGCATTTCGTTTACTTTGTGAGATTTGCAAGGCATGCAATTTCTACAATATGTTTTATCTTAAGGTCACATTTGTGCAGTCATGTGATCTACTCTCTGTGATTGTAAATTATTATTATTATTATAGTTTGTTGAGACCATCAATTTGTACAGAAGTTGTACCTATTGCTGCCATTGCACAATATATAAGTAATATATGATGTGATTGTGAGGTTCTTTTAAAAACAATGTGAGGTTTGGATTTATTTCTTTGTGTGTATTCTGCACAGAACACTTAACAACTTCTGTTTACCTTTTATTATCTCTACACCAAGCATGATATTTTTTTTTTTTTTTTTTTTTCAGTTATAAACATTCCTTCCAACTTCTAATAGTATGTGATAATTATTTATTTGGAATCAAGCAGAGAAGTTTGCATCTATTTCATTGTATATTTTTTGTAATGTTGCTGTTTGATAGTGTTCTGTGTATGATCTTACAGTGATTTGCATGTAGTTTGAAGGAATAAGTGTTATGTCTGACATTCAGACATATTTTAAATGAAATGAAGAACCCTTATGGGTGTTGTTTATAACAAGTGTTGACAACTTTATGTTTAGAAAATTCTCTTATACTATGAAATAAAATGATAATATATATACATATACACTTCATTTTGTCAGGTGTTTTAATTGTCTTGTCAAAAACCTCTTTCTATTGGATAATTGTAATGACCCTAATTTATTACAAAATGTCTTGTGTTTTGACTTTGCTTTGTGTATGAAGCTTCTTAAAATCCTGCTGGTTAGTGAAAATATATATGAAACCATCATAAGTATTTTTGAGAGTAAAATAAAAGATGTTGAATTTTCAACGAAACTGAAATGTTGGTAATTGATTTCATCCACTAGTTTGCAATTTATGCTAGTTTTCTCAACTTTTTTGATTTGACATTGCCCTTTCTCTTGGGGAAAAGTTTTAATTTAACAATTTATTTTTTCCCCTTTTCTTATTTTGGGTAGGGTTTCGAATATACCATAGAGATTTTTAAGAAATAAATAGATTTAATATATGTAGAAAACTCCTTTTAAGTGATTTAATTTACATTAAGGCAGTAAAATTCTGTTTTGTAGTAGATTTGGTTGTTTGTGATAATATTTTCATTGGTGTGATGATAATTTATAAATTTCATTTTTAAGTCTTTTTTTCAGTGCTTAGCGTAATTGAACTTTTTATTGTTGACCAAACTTATGTATTAGTTGTTAAATAAAGCAATTGATTATCCCCTTTTTTGTTAGCTAAATTTACAAATATATTGAGAAATTTTCACATTATTTAGTTTTATTCAAATTCTTAAAAAGCAATATTTTGACAATTTCTATATATTGTTATCCTGATGATGACAATATATACAAATTGTCAAAACATTGTTTTTTAAGAATATTAATAAAAATAAATGTGAAAATTTCTTAATGTATTTGTAAATTAAGCCAACAAAAAAAGAAAAAAGGAGGATCATATATCTATATATTTAATGACTTAGCATAATTATAATGTTTTTTGTGAACATGCAGTAATATATAGTTATTTAAATCCAAACCTTTGCAACCATAATTTAGGACTTTTATGCTTCATAGAAAAATCCTGATTCCGTTGAATTGAATTGTAAGGAAAGCTAGCAAATATAGGCAAGAGGATAGCAGTATATTAGAATTTTTTTATATCATGTACTTTATAATGAAGTCATCAACTGCATTATGAGAGCGATAATACATTTATTTCCATAGATTCTGTTTATTTCAATGAAAATATTTATATTTTATTTGGAGTTTGTATAAGTAGGCAAAGTAGAAACAACTGCCCCCAGTGCCAGAATTCAAACAATGACAAGTTATTCAACACATTTTTCTGTTGACAATTCTTATAGTTTCTTGAACAATTATTTAATAAATAAAACTATTGTTTTGTTTATAAGTCTTTTTTCTTATCTTAAAGTAATGAAGTTTTACCAAAACAACACAACTAGATGTACAAAATTCAAAAGTTTTAGTCAGAAAAGCCAAGAGTTTTCATTTCCCTTCCTTTATTTGGCAAAATTGATTTCAGTATTTATTTATGTTCAAATTACGTAATTATTTAAACAATAATGTATAGATTCATATCTACAGTACATAAATAATATACAATATAATAACAAAAATGTTTATAACTTAACAAAACTCTACAATGGCCCTCCGAAACTATTGGCTCGATCGGCTCCTGGTAACATGGGTACAAAAAAGAGCAAACATAATAAACTCTCTATGTAGAATTTTGCATAGCCCAGTAGGTACTTCATAATAATAAAAATATAATGTTATAATGAAAAGCAATCTCACTCTTGTACTCTGGATAAGACTCTTTAAAAAGGGTTGTTAAGTAAAGGATGCCTCAAATTCAACTTCTTTTAGTTGTTAGGGAACGGAAGCAAGTTTACATATCCACCTAGGAGGAAGGTCCATAATATATTCACAACCATATACAATTAATAAATAAAAATATCACTACTTAAATAAAAAATAATCTTTATTTTTCACTTATTGTTCAGTTTAAAAGTTCTCTATTGAGCTGATGTATTTCATAAATCATTCATTACTGAGGAATGATAATCACAACAGTTTAGACTCCCAAGTACCACTGACAAAATATGAATGACAAATTAACACTATTTAATAATTAAACATTTAATTTACTGCAGCAAATAAAAAAAAATTGGTATCAATGTCTAGTTTGGTAAAAAATATTCACTGGAACTCCCCTTATTAATTTAATTTCAATTCAATAACTATTCATTGCTGTTCAGTAAAACTACAATAACATTTAATGGGAGGAAAATATCCCTTTCCGACTAGCCCACTGGTTGTCGAGCGTGATTTTGGCATTGAATTAAAAACGAATACTGAGAAATAATAATCACATCAGTTTACACTTTGGGGTGCCACTGACACAATACCTAATGAATAGTCGTGACAAATTAATGCTTTTTAATAATTAAACATTTTATTAACCGAAGAAAATCGTTGAGAAAATGTGAGTGTCTAGTTTGGAGGAAAATATTCACTAGAACTCTTTATTAATTTAATTTCAATCCAATAACAATTCATTGCTGCACAGCAAAAAAACAACAACATTCAATGGGAGAAAATGTCCCGTCCTGACGAGCCCACCGGTTATCGCGCGTGATTTTGGCGTCGAACGACCAGCGGCAGGCAGGGCCGGCGCCAGTCTTCGCGGGGAGGGAGCTAGTTGCAGCTTTCCTTTCGCGACGGGGCGCTGGCGGCGGTCCTCGCTCGGTCGCTCAGTCCCACGGCGGCTCGGGCGCCGGCAGGTCGTGTGGCGGTGCACTGCCCGCGCGCGCGCGCCTCTCGCCATGGGGCCACGAACAGCACGGCTTCTAGGTAGGCACCCACGCACCTTCTCTCTTGCAGTTCGAACCATCTTCGCGTACGACTTTAGCATTTTCGTACGATAATGCCTGGTGTACTAGCAAGCTAAACGGTTTGGATTTTCAGATTGTAAATTGTCGGCCATACTCGTCGCTTATTCTGTTTATGCATAATGCTCTGCAAGTAGAATAAGTAGTATTGCGAGTAGCAAGTAGAACTTAAAAATTCATTCTCTTTTCAAATATAAGGTGCTGCGAAGACGATTGCACTTGTGGTGTACAGCTCAACGTAGATTGAATAACTATGATTCAAGAATTAGATAACCTTCCTTCTCTAGCAATTTTTTTGGCATTTTTTCACAGGTTTCATCTGCTGGCAAATATTTTTTGCTAATGTTTCAGAATTCTGAAAATATAATTTGGTGTTGGATTGATCTTTTGTGACTTAAAAAACAACTTAAATGACTCAAAACAAATTTTCTTCATCGATGAACAAACCACAAAGGGGAAACGAGATGTTTAAAATGTTCCAAATTTCATTATTTTCATACCTAATTGGAAATTCTGCATTAACGTAGAAAAACCAAAGACGTATATCCCCATTAATGTGACTACACTGACTCTATTCCTAAGCCAATTGACTTAATGAATTTATTTGTGAACACATGGTAAAGTTATTGGTAAACAAGGTAAAAAACATTGTTTTTTCAAGAAATTGTGAGCATTTTCGTTTCTTGAGCTGTTTGTAGAACGAAATAGTGTCATTATTTGTATTAATTTTAATTAGCCGTAGTTTTTTTTCCTTTAGCGCGATAAAAGTCCAGCATCCGAAGATTCTTTGAAATGTGTTTGCGAATGGACAGCATTATTTTACAGGAAGTGTTATACATAAGAGGAGCTGTCTCCTTTTCTTTCTGCAAGGTATTTGAGTAACATGACATTGATTTTGATTAAAATACGAGTATATCCCTTTAATTGATATTGAAAACACCGTTCAAGATGATCCCGAAAAATATTTCTTGATATTTCTATTTCATATTTTACCCTGTTTGATTAAAGCAGAAACCTTTATTTCGTACAATTTAAAGCATAGTTTCGCGAAGGCGATTCCAATAAATTAATTAAATACAAACGACCATTCGTGAGAGCAAAACGCAAAATGTTCCAGGATAGTTCGCAAGCATTCTTAAACCTGGGATGGGGGGGGGGGGCGGCAACGGAGTCCTGCGTACTTCCTTCTTTTCATCCATCTTTTTAGTAAGGTTAGTTTCATCGAGTAGGACTTTTTTTGTTAAAACCTTTCTTCACCCTAAGTGATAGTTTCGTCTTTCAACCCATATCAGTGGCGGATTTTAATGAAATGTATTTTTTTTTCCATTTTCTCTGTAGAACAATGCCGTTTAGTATAGAAATTATTTTATGTTAAGACAAAACGAAATGACCCATATTTATATTTTTTTCCCCCATTTTCCGTCGATTTCGACTAATACGTCATTTTTTTACTTTTACATAACTTTGAATGCATTTTCGCTGATTTCAAAGTTTTTAATATCATTTTAATTGTACTTGCTTCGAACAATATTTATAAGGTGCAACAAATGTCCTCCACAGAATTCTCGGGTAGCCGATTCAATTTCTTCGCTCGAATATTGTAAAGTCAGCCGTTGTGAGTACTACGTAATTTAAGGTTCCTGTGACGCCTATCGGCGCCATTGTCAGTTCGGCCGATTTCACGATCAAGGAAGAGATATTCTTTTAAAGAAAGTTCAAACCAAAAGATTGCAAGCTGAGTTCACTTGAACGAAAGGAAGAAGCCTCGATTACATCAGTAACATACCCAACAGCTTGAGTAATTCATCTGAAGTGGTTTTGATCAAACATTTTTACGTCATTTTTCTTGGTTTTTATTGCATTTTAGGAGCATTTTTTGATCATTTTAGGCAATGTTTTAATCATTAAAATTCACCCCCTACTTATCAGATTTTAAAAAATCGAAACTGGCGCCTTACGTAATAGTTTCTTGAAAACTCCAGCGTTCTCTTACTGCCAGACCTGCTCATAACACGTTGCACTATTATCTCAGTAGTTATCGTTGTAGAGAATTGATGTACTATCAAAGTAATAAAGTTAATATTGAACTAGGTCTTCAAAAACAGGACGTAACCGTTTGAAAGGACTGCAAGTGCAGAATTTTTTTCAGTGTCCTTGTCAAAGGTCAAAAACTGAAAATATTTTAACCAAAACTTGTAGAAAATGATTGTAATGTACTGCTAAAATCATGAAACATTAGTTTTTCAATTAATTCTGTAATTTGTAATTAATTCTGGGGCCCGCCGTTGATCCCCTCGTTGAAGTTCTCCGGGCAGCGGATTTGTTGATGATTGTTAGAGATTACGGGCGCGTCAACTACTAGGATCATTAGTCCTGTAAGTATAGTGCACGTTTTTATCGATATATGGTGGTTGTCTTTTCCCGCTGTATGGCGAGTTCCGGTGCCGACCTACCGTCGGCTAACGGTGTCTCCCCTACCAGGTATCTTCCACCAGCGGGGCACTGTCCCAGGCGGGACAAGCTCTCGGGTCCCGACGGTCTCCCGACTTTGTGATAGCGTAATGCATGTTAGTATGTGTGTGTAAGGGGTGAGGATAACACAAGGAAGAAGTAGGAAAGATCGCGGTCCGTGACCCGTTTGTTAGCCCGTGCCCCGGCATTCGCCTGGTGTTGGTCAGAGAAACCACGGGAAAATACCGATCAGAGCAGCCGGCCGCTAGATTTCTCCTCCAGACAGCGACGGAATTCAACCTAGTTGACAAGCTAGTGCCGAAAATCCTGCCACCGTCGGGACTCTAACCTAGGCCCTCCTGGTCAGAGGGTGTTAAATCAAACTCCAGTGACATCAGTTGATGCCCTGAGCCATCTCACCAGGTGCAGCGGAATGGTTTTGACATGTCTCGAGCTTTCTTGCGGGTAATTCTCAAATGCGAGAGATACGGGAGAAATGCGAGGAATGGGGGAGATACGGGATGTGTAATGCTGGTTTGAAACAATGCTTTTGAGTAACGTCTCATTCTTCTTTATTGCATATCTGTTCAGTAAAACAACACATTGAAATTAGATAACATGAAATTGCTTAACATGACGTCGTTTCTGATGCCATTCGAACAAATTCCAGAAACTACGGAAATCGTAATAACAATTGATGTCACGCGATCCCATACCTCTGAAACTTCCTCATAATTTGATCCTCTCATTTCTCTTAATTTAATACGGGGTGACTTGTTAATTACTATCCCAAAACGTACTAATGCACTCTTCTTTTATTTTTCTATCAAAAGTGTCATGAAAGTACAAATTGTAAACTTCAATGTGCGTCCATTTTTAACATTAAACATACAAACCGCAATCATTAGTCTTACTGACAAATCTATTAAACATATAAATAGGGCTTTTAGATTAATGTTTTGAACTTGGGAAGTCGTTGGCCACCCACTGCGTTTTAACTTAATGAGAACCGGGGTCTAGCAAGTGGAGAAGAAATTATCTTTGTTTTACAGAACGGTTTAAAACTATTTTATTTGCATTCCTTATATATCTCTGTTTCGGTATCACCGCAATGTGAATGTTTTCTATCTACGAGAAAGGAAAAGATGATCGCAAAAATCAGTAAATTTACTTCTTTAAATAAAAACACTGTTTGAAATATATTCCGGCAGATGACAAAATATTTCATAGCGCGGAGCACATTTTACATCTTTTAAAGCCAGCGAAACTATTAATTAGAAATTCATTAAAACTCCTGCTGTGTTTAAACGCAGCTATCAAAATTTAGTGACAAAGTGAAATCATGACGAAAGGTGAATCAAACAATACTTTGCCAACCAGTTTTACTATTCACGTTTTTTTCCTGTGAATGTCACTCCCTCATTACAATAATTCTACCATATTTTTTTTGAAACGAAAGTCCAACTCTTTGCGTTGAATATATTTCTTTGCCTTCGCCCGGAATATGAAACATAAAAAAATACTAATTTATAAAATGGCCAATCCTGTAATGAAACATTAGGATGTTTAAACTGTATTTATTTACGGTCGCTTTTTAACTGCTAGGGTCATTAGCGACCCTCAAGACTATCTGTCGTGATTTGCCCTATACAGCGCTTCTTTGTGCCAATAAATTTCACTTAAGACTTTGTCACCGAAGGCACGAATGCGCCTTCGCGGAACCGATAATTTGTGGTTAAAATATGGATTTTTCACCCTTAGAAGAAACTTCTTTGACAAAAGAACATTGGCTATGAACTAAAGAAACTTAGTCGTCAATTATTATTCTGCTGGTCAAAGAGGCTGACATGAGTCAGCTGAAGTTTAAAACAGAATATTAACATTAAAATATGTTAGATGAAAATATGAACATGTTAGACATTTTGTAAACATGTATTTCTTAGTTTTTTCCTGCTGTCAGTATTGCTGAATTAGTGTAACACTGTTTTTAAGGTGCACCAAATCATAGTAAATCATTCAGTATTAATAAATATGTTGCACGTCCTTTGTATAACCTCACATCAAACAATTTTTTAATGAGCAAAGTTTATTTTTAAATTTAGTTCGAAGTTTAGGTTTCTTACTGTCGCTTTAATACTTAACATATGTCATTAAAAATATGCTTGTTTGCTTCTAATATTCTCAAATACTTTGTTGCAAATATTGATACAATGTTCGTAATGATAAGTTTTTGAATAACATCATCGTTCCAAACACTGTGAAGAATTTTCTTGAAAAAAAAATTGTTTTAATTGAATGAAAAGTCAAAATTCTAATATTATGTGCCTACGTATGCATCGTGGAAGGTTAATTCACATATTTGATACATGTAGTAATGTCAATATTACACTTTGCAGAGGGGCTCGGTCGATGTATAATAGTAAATTATACATCAAGGGAAAGAAATGAATTATTTTTCCAAATGAGTAACTATAGTCCGAAGGCTACAATTATACCGAGGGAGAACTAAATTATCTTCTGAGGAGTATATATTACTTTTTCCATGACAGTAATAGTTTGAGAAAATTATTTACAATATTAAGCCTCGGAATTTAAAATTTATCTGAAAAGAGCTTGTTACCAAGAAAACTGTCAACAACAAATTACGAGTTTAATTGAGACCATACTGATCCTAAATTCATATGTGATGCTGGTAATGAAGCTATTTAATGCCAAAAAATCTAAGAAAATGTATGATGCATCTTACAGCAATTTTAAAGATTGGTGTAAAGATAAACAAATATTGAATACATGAGCGAACATCTGGCGTATTTCGGTGGGGAGGCTAAGAAGTACAAATCACGTGTATTTCACGCTGAATTCAAAATCAAATGCATACATTTTTATGCATGTGTGTGGTTTGTTTTCATTGTTGTAATATAAACAAATGGGGCATTATTTAATCTCTAGGTAGTAAGTATTATCTTCCTAGGGAGCGAATGCTTCGCTTTAGTTCATTTGCTAACAATAAAATCCATTTTTCCCCAGTCGTGGGAATATTGTATTATTTGTTCCTTTCGTCATTGTATCGTAATACGAATGCTAGGAGTTTTAATTCCCATATTTTAATCATCTTCAGGAATACAAACGCTTGAGACAAATACTATGTCATTAGTGATATTATATTTCGTGAGAAATAAGTAATGGAATAGTAAATTGTCACAAAGGTCCATTTAAGAATGATTTAATGCTTTAAAAACGCAGTTTAAAATAGTGGTAAATAAAAATAGTTTTGCTGTAGGATTTTTGGAATTTGATTAAATGTCTTTGTGAACTCTTCACTGATTTGTAATGTGCGATTAGGTTCTTTTTCGTTCTTTAATTGCAAAAATTTCGAAAATAAACGTATCTACAGTTTTTGTATTATTTAAATTTATGGATAAATTCTTCATCTCCTTCAGGTATATAGACACTGTCTTTTACGTCTCCGTCCCCATGTGGTCACCCCATCTCTTCTTCGTGCGGCCAGGATTTCTTCGTCCTTGTGGGTGGTAGTGTAGAATTCATTTCGGCAGGCGGTAGTCTTGCATCTTTTCAATGTGCTGTGTCCAAGAATTTCGGTAGTAATTGATTTTTTCTTGAAGATTGAATACACAAGTTCTTTACGAATATCTAAATTCCTTTTCTTATCCATCCGCTTATAACCACCCACTGATCTCAGAAATCTCATTTCATCTCTTTGTTGTCTTGTGCTATCTTTTTTTGGTCATTGTCAAATTTTCTCTTCTATATGAACGTATTGGGATACTTAATATCTTATTGAATTTAATCATAGTGTCGTTTCTGACTTTCTTTTTCAGGGTTCTTAGTATTGTTCCGTTCATAAGATTTATTTTTTCAATTTTACCCTTTATGGATAAAGTATAATTAAATAAAATGAACCTATTATTTTGACAGGAGTTTGCTAATTAATATCGTATGTATGTATTTGGCATTTTGGGTCCAGAAATTGACATTACTGTCCGGATTTCAGTGTCCCCCATACGTAGTTAAATGTTCATTAATATTGTAGGTATGTGAATTATATATTTTAAATTTTAGAGTTCAAACTATGAGTGTATTCTAATTGGGGTAAAGAGTGAAGATAAAACGAAAACTAATCCCACCCTCGAATCCAGGTGGTATCGTGTATTTTCACGTCGTCACAATCCCTTTTCAGTTTTGTGTAAATTTATGAGAATTAATATTTTCACTTTTCAATCCAAGTTTCGTTTTGAGTAGATGTACGTTTTATTACAAAGTAAGTTCGGTGGAAGTAATATAATTCTTTGAAGTTATAGGGATTCTTTGCATGACGTAAAAAATCTCTGCCATTCTTATGTCTGTTTGTGTGCCGGGTAATGAGAGACTAGGTAGAAGGTGATTAATTATGCAAACAGCGTACCTAGACAATTCCAGTGGATTGCCGGATGGATCATGTTTCTACACTCCATTGTATGGTGATGCAGATCATTACAAGGTCACTTCGTTTCTTGAACCATTATCTGGCCTAGATTATTGCATTCTTATGCCTTGCCACAGAGTGTGTTGGCGATCAAAACTACACAAAGTTTAGTCACTGGAACTCTTGGATGCTTTATCAAACTTTTAATTTCGGATACATTAATCGAAGAGTTTCATTGGTGAATATAAAAATATCCATTCATTCTATTCAGCCGTTTTCGAAGATTAATACCATGAATAAATGAGCTTTTTCACAAAACTACTTAATTATATTGGTAGTGTATTTCGTGGAGAAATACGCCATAAGTAATTTATACATCTACAATAAATAATAAGTTATAATTACAAAAATGAGTGGTAATGATGTAGGCTTCCGCAGCCGAAATCATTTCATACTTAGCTGCCCGGGATGAGCCGTGTCTCAGCCGATCGAGCTGACGTTTCACAATGTGACACGATGGCCAGCTCGATCGACTGTGACGCGGCTCATCCCGGACAGCCAAGTATCGAATGCTAATGATAATAAATGGTATGTGACCTAAACAGGTAGTGTTAGATATTTACATATTAATTTAATAATTAAGTAGTATATTATTACTAATATTAATATTTGTAGAATTTGAAGTTGTGAAATTAGAAGTTTAATTAATGCATATTTATACATATACATGTGTGGGTGTGTTTTAAGAAATGTATGCAACGTATATATTATGCTTCATGAAATGGAAATTTCCTTTAGTCTACTGTTAATGTAATTTTGTCATGTTTGGTTTTTTTTACTTAAATATTTTCGGACTATATAGATAACGGAATCACGTATTGTTTTATTAGGATAAAATTGAATCGACAGTAAAAAAAATATTGTTCTGGATGATAAAAATGATACTTCTACTGGAGGGAGAAAGAAGAATTAGGAGCGAAGTTGCCTCACTTCGGTCGGCACCGGTAAACTTGTTAACATCAGCCTGTAATCAATAGCATTGTATTTTAAACAGAAGATTTTTCAAAATACATTCTTCTGGAAAGTCGTACATTCTTTCTAATTTTATGAGACTGATTAATATACTTCCTTATCTGACCTAATAATTCATTTATGTTGTGAGTCATCTCAGGCGAAGAATATCAACGCCAGTGTGGTCTGAATAAGGTGTTGAAAAAAATAACTTACGCAATTTTGCGGAGACGTTTCTCGTAACTATGTTGCAGTTTAAAGACAGAAGGAATGAAAGAAAGAAGGAAGGAAGGAAGGAAAGAAATAGTAAATTGCTTGAAAGGAGGATGAAAATTGTCGTAATAAGTTTAGATCCAACCAATGATTCGGATAAAGCCATTATACTTGTAAATCTTTTTTTTTCTTCCTTAGCTCTATTCAGGAGAGTTACGTTTGCTAGATAAGTAAAACTTATGTTTCTGCTAGTTAAGTTGAAATGTCAAATCTCGTTGATGTGCAAAGTTAACAACACTCTAACAGCAATGTAACAGTAAGCTATGATTGATACCGAGGAGTCAGTGTTCCGGATGTTGAGGGGATACGGGTATGCCCCTGCAATGTGTTAGTGCTGCAACCCCAAACACACCGACGGAGCACTGATCAACATGACATAAAGCTAACTCTCTACTCCGTCAAGAACTCGGTATCACCCCCATCACTGTCTTCCATCTATCCGCAAAATTCTATAACAAAATTTCTCGAATACCTTCAGCTACCCGTTTCAAACTAGATAAACAGAACCCCCATCGGAAATGTTTGAAAAGGAAATTACCGAGATAACATTTTGACCCTCCTTAAGCAGATTGGAAACGATTAGCCTCTCCTTCTAAAACAAAGTGCTTCTGAAATGAAATTACTGCGATAAAAAATATACCTTGTAAACTTGCCGTATAAAAAAATTCAATTACTGTATCAGTCGTTCACGGCTGCTGAGGGTTACAGGCCCAGTAAGAATAAATTTTTGAAAAACCTAAAGCAACAACGCGCCAAAAATAAGGAGCGCTTCATGTGGGCAAATGAATAAGTCTGCTAGCAAGTAATTGCTATGCATATTACAAATTTGCTTTTTGTCCTCAAGGAAGCAGCCGCCGATCGTCTATGGATGGTACATAAAATGTATTTACTTGGGAAAAGTAACACACATTGGGTGATAAACTATACTCCCGAGCAACATTTAATTTAAATCGTGTGAATAACAGATTACTGTAATCCAAAAGAAAATTAAAAACGTACGTGGTTTATTGAATTTTATGGCTATATCATGATTAAAACAGTAGTGACTAATTCACTACCTACACAAATTTGTATCTACTTTGGAGTTAATTCATAATTATAGCATTTATAATTAGTAGAAATGTATTATTTTAATTGTTTTGTGATTTATGAATAATTAACTAGATCGTTCTCTTCTTATTCTTAGAATCATACAGGCATTATCTATTAGACAAGCTAGAAGCGCGAAGAGAAAAAATAAATTTTCTCCTTACCGTTGTAATTTTTTTATTGAAAAGCTTAGTCTCTTTTTAATGGTTTATAGTATGTTGCTGCAGTAGCTCTTTATCGTCGATGCGTTTCGGTTGAAGAGTTATTTGCGCGGGTGCTCGGGTAGCGAAGGCGTCGGCGGCGCGGAGGTTCCTGCGGCCGGTACACGAAACTATTCCTCCTCGCGTAACAGAACAGGCTATGCTTTTTTATTGTGCTCAAATGGGATAAAAGCAAATTATATACCCCATTATAAGAATACTTTATCAAAAAGATTGATCACTCTTTAGTCGTTCGCAAAGTAATGACTTCCGTCGTCAAAGTATCTTTTCTATACTAATTTATAATAAATTATTATTATTATTATTATTATTAATCATTGCATTTACTTTTTCGGTATTTTGTTTTTCAGTGTATGTTCGTAGAAGAGGGTGAGATAATTTTGAATTGTTACTTTTACTAAATGAGTTAGCAGATATTTTTAACTTACTTGAATTATTAATAACATCTCTGTCCCCCTAAAACCACTTACAAAAATGTTGATTCAACACAAAATATATTAATAATAATAATAATAATAATGATAATAATAATATATACCTTAAATGTAAAATAAAGGACAGAAAAGAACTGTCTTGTCTCATTTGTGAGTTTTCCAGTCCATTGTGTAAATGAAGGATGTCGTTAAAATGTGATTCTATGATCGGATTGAATCTTTTGCAAGCCTATTATTGTCACTCCGAGCAAACAAATTTACATCACTCTATTAATTATTCTTTATTTCCCTGATATAAGTTACACAATAAGAGGGAGAGTTTTCACGTTTGGTGGAGATTTTCTACTATCTGGGAAGACAAGTGAAGTCTCTTATTTCAGAATATTAAGAATATTCAGAAACGTCAAATAAAATTTCTTGCTGGTTCTCATTGAAAGCAAGACGAAGATGTCTGAAGAATAACGTTTTCAAGAACCCGAAACGTGGAGCAGTGGCTTAATATTCACGACGGCGCCACGATTATTCGTCGTGCCGGAAATCGTGAATCTCCACGATGGTCTCCAGCCTTCTGCAAGGAGACAGAAAAATAACAAGTAGAAGGATAGGGGCATGAAAAAGAGGGAAAAGGAAAGGAAGAGAGGACAAAAAACAAAAAAAAGAAAAGAAAGATAGAGGAGAAGGAGGATCCGTCGCAGGTGAGGATGGGGATACCGGGCGCTGCAGAGCGTTTAGTGGACTGTCGTGAGGTCACGAGGAGGCGTGGCGTCGGCGGAAGTGCTACAGGCGCGCCGCTTCCTCCCGCGGCGACCGGAGGCCCCGCCCACGACCTCGGCGCCACGCCCCCGCGCAACGCCGCGCTGCGCCCGATTTGGATCCCTCGGAATATTGCATTGTGCCAACTTTGCGACGAGGCGGGGCTGC